GGGGGGCCGCATCGTCGGGAAATCGGGGACGGGGGGGCCGTATCGACGGGGACACTGGGGCCGTATCGATGGAAGGACAACGTCTCCCCTCCCCCATTCCTCAGACGAATGGCCGAGCCCACCACTGACAGTCACATGATCTCCATCTCACACACCCCCCCCCAGACCCAAATGGTATATTCAAAGCGCAGGCGCAGTACGGGCTGTTACGGAAACGGCGGGGGAGGAGGAGGTGTGGCCTATCATGCGCATGGCAAGCAACCCGGTGATGTCAGGGGCGCAGGCGCAGTGCGGAAGGAGGCGTTGCCAGCGGTTGTGACGGAGTGGCGTGACCTCTGTCGCGCGTGGACGAGAACGGGAAAGTGGGGGCGCAGGCGCATGGCGGGCGGAGGCGTCATGGGATGAGGGCGTGGCCTCCTTTGCGCATGGCGGGCGGCACGGAGGGGCGCAGGCGCACTAGCGGGCGGCGGCGGTTGGGCGTTTGGAAGGGAAGGGGGCGTGGCCGCCGTTAAGCGAGGCGGGAAGCCCGGGCGGCGCAGGCGCAGTCGACACACCCTCCCGCTCGTCGCTTCACTGAAGATGGCTGCCTCCTGCCACCGCTCCTTCGACCCCGAGGACCATGAACTGGACCGGGGCTTCCGCCTCACCGCCCTATCCGACATGAAAGGATGAGGTTGCAAGGTCCCGCAGGAGGTGCTGCTCAAACTCCTGCGGGCTCTTGGCCCGGAACCGCGGGCCGACGCCGCCGCTACCTCCTCGGCCCCGTCCGGCGCCGCGGCCGGAGGCGGGGGCGGCGACGAGGACAACAACCAGTTCCTGGGCACCGTCATGCCGCGGATCGGTGAGGCCACTCTGTCCTTTGCTCCTAGCCCACCCTCCCCTCCGTTTCTGCGCACTCCCCCCCCGGGGTCTCCAGACCCCCATGCAAGGGGCTGTGGCGATTGACCAACGGGTTAAAGCTGTGTGGTTATTGTCTCCCCCTATTGGTTCAGGTCCATTAGACAGACAGCTAGGGGGGCCAATCGGATGCTGGTGGGTGGGTTCTTATCCGCCTGATGGGCGGGCGTGGGACTCAATCGGGTCAGACCTTGGTGGGGTGGGTACGGTGTACTCCAATTGGCCAGGACTCCAGAGGTGCGGTGAGTTGCACCAATCGACGTCGGGGCTGTCGTGATGGACAGCCGGGGGAGCTAATCGGATTTATGCGGGCGGCATGTCAATCCACTCTTCCTCATTGGGCGCGGCTCTATGAACGGGCGGGCCCTCCGACCGATCGGGTTAGAGGGGTGGTGGGAGGTTCCTTTCTATTGGGTGAGGCCCTCCTGATGACTCCGTATGGTAGCCAATCAGGATCTTACGTGTTTGGCTTTCCCTTTTCCAATTGGGTAACACCACCCCTTTCGTCCCGCCCCACCGAATCAGTTTTGGCCCCTTTGGACGGACTGCGCGACCATCCAATCGGATAGGGGTGGAGCCTGCAGCGCCACTCCTATTGGTCAGCCCTCCCCTGACGGATGGCCCTGAGGGGAAGCGCTGTGGTCCGTCCCTCTCCTTGATGGACAGGATTTCCAGCCAATGGGCATCCCAGTTCATGAAGTGCGTCATACAATTGGTTAGTGCTGCTTGATTGATGGCACGCTGGACCAATGGACGCGGCGGATGGGCGGTCCTCGTTTGGAGATTGGTCAACCGTTGTGATTGATGTTGGGATCAGCGAATGGGGGAGGGTGTGTGGGAATCCTCCGTTTGGGTCGTGGGGGTTCAGTATTGAGCCCATTCAAACCTTATTATTGTTATAATGTAGGGGCCTGGGGAGTAAGGGGCTTGTCTAACGCCCCTGCACCCCCGTGAAGTCCAGTCGAGCCCACTGCGGTAGGTGAGGGGCAGGCTCAGCTATTCGACTGTGAGGGGCGTCGCGGCCATGCGCTTCCAGGCCGTGGCCATTGCCCTGCCCCGAACACACCTGCCACCGTATTGTGGCTTCTCTCTCTTCTCCAGACCCTCCTGGCTTCCACCATCCTGAGGACGAGGTTAAAACCCCGAGGGGGATTGTGTTGGGGTGGTGTCTGGTGAGCGCGGAGATAAGGGAACTAGTCCTGTCGAAGGAAGGTCCGAGACCCCAGCTGTGAGGGTGAGGGGCATGGGCTAGAGGCGGACGGCCAAAGGGGCGAGGCCAACCTGGCGTGTTGGCACTGTAGGAGGCCATTCAGCCCATCAAGGCTGCTATGCTGTTCATTGCATTCACAATTCCAATCTCCTTTCAGCCCCGAGAGGCTTAGATTCTCAACAAACAAACAAAAAGGATGGTGAATGCTGAAAATCTGAAACGTGGTATCATAGTCTCGCAACACAAAAACAGACCCTTCACCCCAACTTGTCCGTGCTGACCCAGACATCCTAAATTACTCCAGAGATAGTAGGAACTGCAGATGCTGGAAAATCTGAGATAACAAGGTGTAGAGCTGGATGAACACAGCAGGCCAAGCAGCATCATAGGAGCAGGAAGGCTGACGTTTCAGGCCTAGATTACTCCAGTCCCATTTGCCAGCATTTGGCCCCTATCCCTCTAAACCCTTCCCTATCCGTGTACCCATCCAGATGCCTTTTAAATGTTGTCAGTGTACCAGCCCCCACCCACTTCCTCTGGCAGCTCGTTCCATACATGCACCCCCCTCTGCCTGAAACATATGCCCCTCTAGCTTTGGACTCCCCTACTCTGGGGCTTAAAAGATTTTGGTTAATCACGTGCCCCGTGCCCCTCTTAATTTTATAAACTTCTAATGATGGGGACATATTTCTAAGGTAAAAGGATTAAAATTTGAGTCTGGTTCGTGTGTGTGTGTGGAATGAACTTCCAGAGGAAGTGATGGATGTTACAAAGTTACAAAGTTGAAGACTTTTGGATAAGTACATGATAGGAAAGGTTTGGAGGGATATGGGCCAGGAGCAGGCAGGTAGGAGTAGTTTAGTTTGGGATTAGGGCCGGTACGGACTGGTTGGACCGAAGGGTCTGTTTCCGTGCTGTACGACTCAACAACAACGTACTTGCCGCCTCCCTGGTTTGAATGCTGGGACTGGGTCTCGGAGGAGTGGTCTCTCAGCATGCTTGGGATTTGGAGGGATGGGGGCTCTAGAGGGGATGGAGGGAGGTGAGTCGAGACGTACGAGAGGGAATTGGATCTTGAGCCGAGTGGTAGCAACTTAACAGGGCGCTGGGTGCATGGTGTGTCAGAGGAGCCAACACAGACAAGGATGGGCTGAATGGCCTCCTGCTGGCCTAAGCTATCTACTAGAGACTGCCTAAACTGTCTGTTTAATGCGAGTTGATATGACTATTTTTTGTTCTCTCCCTCTCTCTCTCTGTGTCACAGGGATTGGTATGGATTCGTGTGTGATCCCTCTAAGGCACGGGGGTCTCTCTCTCGTGCAGACCACTGATTTCTTTTACCCCCTAGTGGATGACCCCTACATGATGGTAAGGTCCCGATCTAGTCCTCAGCAGAGATTTCTTCCTGCCAGCTGTGCCAGCTTTCCACGCGGCTTCCTCCTAATCCGTCCCTGCCCCAGGGTTTGGCGTGTCTCGGGGGGGCACTCGTGACGCTGGGCAACAGACGACAGATTTCTGTCTCTGTCTTTCCCTCACTCTCTTTCCCTCCGTCCCAGTCTCCCTGCTCCCACTACCCCCTCACCTGCACCTTCCCTCCCCACTTCCTTCCCTCCCTACCCACCCCCACCCTCACTCGCGCTCTCGCATGCCCATGCTCGCTCTCTCTCGCCCCTATGTCTGTGTGATTGCATTCCAGCCCCCTTCCCTGTGTCCTATTAAGCACACCCCTAGTGACCAGCCGTGGTTAGCTGTGCTGCCGAACGGTGCTCCGTTCCAAGCTGGAAGGGGCTGGCCTCTCTCTGCTGGACGCCCATCCCCACCTCCCCC